TCAGTCCGCGATAGCATTTGGCTTTTACCAGCATTCAGCGGCAAATCCCACTTCTGCGCCCAGCTAAGGACAGCAGTTATGTCTCTTTTTAGGTTCTCTCTTCCTTCAGATCCAACCACCTTGACATCGTCGGCGAAGGAAAAGGTGGGCGATGTCAGCAGCGCAGCAAGGTCGTTTACGAAAAGCAGAAACAACAATGGAGAGGAGCACTTGTCACCTACTTTGACGTAGAAGGTTCTGTTTGTGACGAAGTCTCTCAGCCATTTGTGGATTTGTCCCCTTATGCCGAACGCATCTATTTTGACCAGTAGCAGGCGTTGATTAACCGAGTCAAACGCCTTGCCATTCCGTTGGTGCATGAGTCGCGCTCATGTCTCTCTGGACCGTTTTGTTCATGCTGTTTGTATTTCATTCTCTTGAAGATTCTCACTCAACCCCTATATATATATATATATGATTTATTGCAATTGCATAAGACGATAGCATAAGACAATAACCTGGATTTCATATTGTTAGCCAAAGCCTGGCACACGGCAGACTTTGTCTTCGATGGCGATCAAAGAAACCATATCAGGCTATTCACTTAACCCAAAAAGCATGCTTCGCTGTTTTCCAAGTTTTCGTAATGGCTGAATCCGGTAAGTAATGTAACGTTCGATAACCATTCACTTAAAAGATAACTTCCATTTCGATGGCCTTCTCCAAGTTATCTTTTTAGTGAATGGTTTCGAACGTTTCATTACTTACCGGATTCGGCCATTACAAAAACTTGGAAAACGGGGGCTGTCCGCGGCATGTCCGAGTTAGCCATCAGGAGACCCCTGATAGTTTCGGAAGCAGTGATATTGGAAACCATACATTTCTTTAAAACTATCGCGATGGCGTTTTCCTTCGCGACTTGAATAATACAATACATCTAAAGAGGGATGATTTTACTCTATCGGATTTTCCAACAACCCAACCACCCCTGTAGACCTCTGTTGGTTTTATCGCACAACGTTCATCTCAGAGGGCATCCGCTGAAGTTGGCACACCAAAAGAGCCGTCTCGACTGCAGACGTCACTCGTTTGCAGTCAGAGTGTGCAGCACATGGAACTCTCTACCAGCTCACGTTGTCTGTGCCCCAACATTAGTATCATTCAAGCGTCAGCTTGATGATGTCCTGGAAACCGTTACATTGCAACACCCAACTACATAACATATTCTCCTGTGCTCGTCNCTTTCATGGACTAACTGTGATATTGTGATTCTTCATCCGAGCCCATGTGTAAACACCCTATGGGATTTGTAAAAGCGAAGTCTTTGTAAGTTATATCCCATAATAAAAATTTGATTTGATTTGATTTGACTTGAATTAATTACGTATTAATGTAAAGGCCCTCGAATAGGAAAGCGATTTGTTAGTCATCTGGGTATGAGGACACGGATGCCACGGACAGGATGACATTTTTGCTAAAAGCTAGTCCACAAGGCGAGGGTGAGTCAGTTGCTTCACGGTGTGAATCATTCATCAGACGACCTGTAGCGCAAAGCAGCGATGATGAAACAGAACTGCCGTGTCGCCCCAGCTAAAAACCAAGGAGTCCAAGTCCAGTAATTTATCCACCGACACTGTCTCCCACGACGTAAGCAGTGTCGAAAACATTTCTTAAACTTAATTTACCAGGTGACCCAGGCAAACTGCAAGCCAGTCCTCACACAGACGTTCCGTGCAGGCAACATCCTCACCCGTATCGGTGGATATCCCAGGGGTGAGTAGTTTCTACTCTCTAAACGCTGCGTAAGTTTTACATTGTGATTGTTAGCTTCAACTTCATTTTAGCAGCTCATCTCTCGGTGCCAACGTTCTTTCCAACATGAAGGATAAAATTAGGCTGAAAAAACTGACGGGTATTCGTGCTCTATATAATTCATTTACNTTGCGTGACATGCGGACTGAGATGACGCAATTAGGCGCCAGCTTGGATCTGCTGTATAGGAAAATGGACCAGCTTTTCATCACACAAACGCAAAATGCCCAAACATTTGATCCTGTAATCGGAAGCCAATGCAAAACGGTTCAAGAACTAAACGATCTTGAAACGAAACTGCAAGAGAAATCAACCAATGACAATTTGGTAAATATTGAATTTCGATTATATTTTGTTCATCTAGGTCCAACAAGTCCTTCACCTTGATGGCAAAGATCTTACACCCACCATAGAACGTGCAATGACTCTCGTCTTTCACGAGACTCCGGCTGTTGTCAATTACATGGAGAAAACGCCAAGCAAAGGGCATTCGGATTTAATTGTATTCTGACTATTTGCGGTAAGAACAATGTTCTAATTCATGCTCATTTCTAAAGATGCTGTCATGAGCTGTGACAAATTCTTCCGAATGGCGAGCCACGTCGTGAAGGTCGAAATAAAGCGATGGCTAAAGAATACCACGGACAGAATTTCTCTTCGGAAACATCGTGAAGACACCATTGGTGTCATGTAAAATGTTTGTGACTTGTATTTCAATAAACAGTATTTCTTAAACCTACGCCTTTTAATTACCGATTAAAGTATGCATAAGTCACGGGAAGGCAGTTAATGGGAGTGGGAAAATGCGGCATATGGTGCGTTCTATAATGGGAAGGTGAAAAAACGAGAATTAGGTATTTGAAATGTAGCTCATTGTAGCGAGCGAATAGCCAGTTATTCTTTGACGAATAAGCTACATGGGCGTTACAAAAACGTCGCTGTAGCTAATTTGTAGCTAATTGCAGCTGGCGAATAGTGCGTTATCCGCCGATTACGTACTGCTTGGGTGCTTTTCAGGTTAAGTGATTCGCCTTCAATCTTCCACTGTTAACGGCAGCCGGAGGTTCTGTATTAGCCCCATCCCTTTATGCTCCATTGGGCTGGTTAGATGTTGATAACAGACCAGCGCTCCTGCATAGCTCTGTCGAGTTTTAGCTTGAAAATGTTGTCGTTTGGCTCTTCCACCACATCCTGCAGAAGTACATTCCAGAGATTTGTCACCCTCTTCGACAGACGATAGATCAATGGCAGACCGTTTGACTGCATCTTGTGGAGCGTCGTGCTTGTCCCCGGATGCGGT